CAGTGCCGGGTGCAAGGGCATCCCAGTCCCCTGGCATGCCCCCGGACGTGCGGCCCCGCCCCCGGGCGCCCGGCACGTGAGTGGCCCCCGCCTCCCGGGCGCCCGGCGCATGAGTGGCCCCACCTCCCGGGCGCCCGGGAGCCTCTAAAAGTTGGGGACCACTGATCTACAGTACATGTTTTGTTAGTCTATAAAGTGCTACCAGACCATTTGTTGTTTTTTAAGTTTATCCTGTACAGACTAATTCGGCCACCCCCTGAAGCTGCTATAGTTATGCTACCACACAGTTCTTTCTATGCTAGCTTTTTTTTATTCTTAAGGGAAAGGCATTACAGGCAAAAAAACATTAAAATCAAAAAAGGAACCTGCTAATAAGCTTATTGGAATTCCCTAACATGGGCTCTGGTAGGAGCAGTCCTCCAAATCCCAACCCAAGGACAGTCCTCATGGTTACAAATTCATGACAGCTTTAGCTCTGAATGTGCACCTAGTCTTTCAGACCCTCAGTAGGCTCACTCCCTCCAACCCTATCTTTCATCCTTAGGCTTATGCAGCTGCATAATGCACCACTAAATTTGGGGCAAGTGGTTCCATCCATGGCCAGCACTGGTTCCAGCAGCTCTAATCCCTAATCCTCCTATCCCTGCTCCACCTCCCAGCCCTGAGGGCCCCAATCCCCATGCCCCCTGCTTTGCCTCACAGCTCCAGCTGGTTGTGCTGCTTCCCCTTCTGCCTGCTCCACCTTGCAACCCACAGCTCCGGCTGACAGAACTGCCGGTTCGTGGCACTGCTCGGTCCACCTGTTCCCCTGCCAGCCACCCTGCCCAGCTCCTGCCCCCCGTAACCCTAAATAGGGGTATGCATCCACCAGGTCAGCATTTTGGCCTCCTGCCTAGGCAGGGTTCCTACTCTGCTCTCCCGTCCCCTCTCCTCCACACACACATCTCCCTTTTCCCAGTTCCTTCCTCCTCCATCTTAATTTGCCTTAACATACCACCCTGGGAGTGGCTTCCTCTGTCGCCCTGAATGCCTCATCTTGTTGCACCCTCTGCAAGTGTCTGCTCCTGCAGTCCTTCAGTAGTAATGGCTTCAGGGTGGCAGCTTCAGTGGTAGCTGATCCTGTCCTAGCAGCCTGGCACCAGTCACCCAATGAAGCAGCTAGCCAACATATTAGATGGCTGCCCAGCTCCTCCAACCTGCTAGGAAGAGCAGCCTCTGTCAGTGTGCCATTATACATCTGAAGGGCAGGGCTCGCTGAAAGGGACCAAGGAATGCTCATTGCATGGCAGTTAAACTGCCATAACTATTTCTTGATTAAAACAATGGTGGGTAGGTTGGGGAGGGAAAGCTGCTGAGACCCATCCTTCTCTAAGAGAATCTGTGGAAGGGGGAATTCAGGAATATGTTGTTGAGCACCTACAGTTTTCTGAGACAGACTGAGTCTTCAAACATGACAAAATTGCTGTAATATACAACTTGAGGATCTTGAGCCACGTATGTTTTCTTTTAGTCTGTGCTGTGGCTCTTCTCATATCCAAGAAAGGCAACACAGATGCAGGGGTAGATGTAGATTGACCAAAAGAAAAAATGTTAGTTTAATATAAACACAGGTGGACAGAACATAAAAACAGAGGTAGACAGCAGTAATGTGTCTAGAACCAGATTTCTGGAGTCTCAAGATAGGCTTCTAATCCCAGCACTCTGAGCATACATCTACACAGCAGGGCAAAAGTTGAACTAAGGTCTGTAACTTCAGCTACATCAATTGCGTGGCTGAAGTAGAAATAGCTTAATTCAACTTCTGGTGCTGACTACACAGCAGGAAGTTGAAGGAAGAATACTCTTCCTTCAACTTTCCTTACTCCTCGTGAAATGAGGGTTACAGGAGTTGGAGTAAGAAGTCCTCCATCTCGACATTATTTCGAAACAATGGCTTGCTGTGTAGACTAGGGTTACCAGATGGTTTAAAAAAAATGCTGGACACACTTGATCTCAGATGGGGGCAGGGACCAACCAGGAGGAGAGCGGGGCTGGCTGGGAGGAGGTTGGGGGGAGCAGGGCTGGCCAGGGAGGAGAGCTGGCCGGCGGGGATCAGGGCTGGCCTTGGCGCATTCAAATCCCGGGGTGCTGCCCGTTCTGCACATGGTCCTGGCAGGGCACACGGACAAGTCTGGCCCCGGGGATTCCATCCCACCCCTGCCCCCCTCAGTTGTCACGCTCATGCAGTGTGAGCATGTCTAGCAGCCAGGCAGTACGCAACTACATACTGATACTCATGATAATAAAATGTACTTAATTAAAAAATACCGGACATTTATATGTCCAGTATTTTCTCAATTTGTTTCCCAGACAGAAAGCTCAAATACTGGACTGTCTGGTTCAAAACCGGACACCTAGCAACCCTAGTGTAGATGCACACTATGTTATTTCAGAATAATGTCAGTTATTCTGAAATAGGCTACGTCTACACAGCAGCATTATCTTGGCAATAAATAATAGTATTCAGTGACACTGGAACATTTTTAATAATGGAGGTGCTGAAGGCCAGTCCCCTTACCTCTGTCCACCAGAACCACCCTCTCCCCTCCCCCCCCAAAGCTGGGTCTAGGAACAAAGCCATATCTCCTCAACCCCTGCACTCCCAGTTCCCATACCTATGATAGTATTCTTATTGTATGTTTTTATTCAGCTGTTTGATTATTTGACACATTACCTTTGTTACTTCATGGTAAACTTACTACCTTCATTCTTATATTTTAAATATGCTTCATTCTATTGTCACTCTGATTTTCCAACAGGCTCTGGATCTAGGGTGGGCGTGTATGTGTTGGCAGAGAAAGCTTGAAGGAAGCACAACAACATCATCACTAGGTTTAGACATTTTGACCTTCAATCTTATCTTTAGGATTTGCAGCTGGTTAACTAGTACAGCCTGCTTATAAATAAATTTATCAGCAGCAGCTTTCAGTAAGTATTTGAACAACATGCTCTTGGTTTCACTTCATAACATCTCTATTGACTGCAGAATGAATTCTGGGGTATTCATAAAAGTTTTGCTAATATGCTACACAGGAGACTGGTGAGTTATGGCTGACAAGTTTGATTTACACATTTCAAAAAATCCTTTTGTACTATAGTTTTCTTTTCTCTCAAACTTGCACAATGCCAACTCAAAATTTTGAAAAGTTTCCTTCAGAGGAACACAAAAGCAAAAATGATAAGGTTGTAACCTGGAAGGCTCTCTTACCAATCCAGAAAAAGGAATGAATGTTTTAATTAGGCTTGTTGCTACAAGAAGGCGATATGAAGCCTCCTTAAGCTTGAAAAATCATGCCTCCTTAGCACCCCAAAAGTAGACCACACTGAGCCCTGACACTAGGGCTATATCTACATTGGCAAGATTTTGCGCAAATATTCTTTAACACAAGAGTTTTTGCGTTAAAGTATTGTGCAAGAGAACGTCTACACTGGCATGAGTTTTTGTTCAAGAGATGTGCTTTTGCACAAAAGCATCCGTGCCAGTGTAGACGCTCTCTTGTGCAAGAAAGCTCCGATGGCCATTTTAGCCATCGGGCTTTCTTGCGCAAGAAATTCATGTTGCCTGTCTACACTGGCCTCTTGCGCAAGAGGGCTTATTCCTGAGGTGGAGCATCATAGTTCTTGCGCAAGAAGCACTGATTTCCCAAATTAGAACATCAGTGTTCTTGCGCAAGAACTCCCTGCCAGTGTAGACAGGCAGGGTGGTTTTTTTCCAAAA